ACTGACTGCAAGCCATCCATGCAAGGGGAATAGACTGTGCAGCCAGAACCAGCAGACAGCCAGCAGGCACTAGCAAGTACTCAGGACCAATGTCTTGGGTTGACTGACACTGAGTTGTCAGCACAAGGGGAGCAGTGTGTGCATAGGATTCTAATTGAGTCAAATGTTTGAAAGCTGTCAAAAACAAATGTTTAGGGGGACTTATACTCCACCTATCCAATAAGAATGGTAGTTTTAAGAACCAGCAACACTTGCAAGCTCCAAGCAGCAACAGTCTATAAAATATAGAGCCAACCAATTTATTGATTTTAATGTGACAGCGCATTGCCTGCCCTCAGAATTCACAAGGTATCAGCCTCTCCAATGAATGTAGAGGCCTGAACAGTGTTCACGCTCCAGTGATACCCAGCCATCACAGAATAGAGAACAGTCTCCAGAGGCAACTACCACAAAGCTCCTCAGAGATAGATCAATGCTCAAAGCCATGGCATATCCTCCATCAGAATCCAAAAGGAGTCGTCACGGGCAATGTTCACTGCATGCAGCAGAGGGTTTAAGGGAACATGATACAGCCATATGAGTGCTTGATAGGATTTTTAAACTTGCTGCTTTGGGCAAATGAGCTAGTTTGGTATTTCACAGTGCATGTCCAAAATGAAGTGCGTCAAGGTCATTCAGATGCATGAGCGAGATCTGCCCTATCAGTGTGGTCCCACACAGACTTCAGCCCCTGCTCCCATATGACCTTGCTTTTTTGAAATGCCGACCTTGTTTCATTGAAATTTATCAGCATGAAAAATAAAAGAAGCGCATGTGTACATTTATATTGGTACACTTTTACTGACATTGGTGTAAGTGAAATACACTTTCTTACCAAGTATGTAAAATAATGAATAAACATTGCTGTGAGTAAAAAACAGGTCAGTAAGTACCCAGCATAGAAAGTGTATCTGAAAGCATGTACACTCAGAATAATTTCCCCAATATGAAAATTTTGTTATTTTTTATAAAATCTGTCTGTAGAAGTGAGCAAAGATTTCATGTTTTTATTAACGTGATAACAGCCATTTGTATTATTAGCAGAATTTCATTCCTGAGTGAAAAAAAAGTCACTTTCATAAATCAAGTTACAACTGGCTTGTGTACACAAACAGAATTAGCCCATGACAGGCAAAAACTGTAGCATTTCCTTTGTCAATAACCAGTTCCTTAGAAAAAAAAATTATTTAACAGTCTTCCACTTGGCCATGCTTGCTTCCACGGCAAGTATGAACCGGTCAGTATAACGTTTCATTGTTCACCCCCTTTGGTACAGAATGTGCAAACTCCTAAGATTAAAGATACCCAGTCATCACAGCTGAAACCATATCTGGAAGCAACCTTCACAACTTCATAAGAGCAATATTCAGAAACAGCCACATTGCGTATTAACAGTCTTGACACTAGACATCATTATTTCTTTACAGTACAAAAAAATCTGAAAACATTGTGCATGAATTTTTTATATACTGTTTATCATATAAAAACGCTATAAAGGTGTGTGAAAAACAAATATACATGTGCCCTCTTGAATTTGACAGGATTTACAAAGCACACAATGCATGTATACTAATTTGATGTTGTGCATCAGATCAGTTTGAAGAAGCCAAACTGACTCGAAACACCATAGAAACCAAAGCTAATCTGAGCTCCCCAAATCTGACTTGATCCAACAAAAATCCAACTGAAGTCAAGCAAAGCTGAATTGACTCAATACTGAACTGGTTCCACAAACAAAACCCACAAACAAACCCCCCAAATATCTAGCTCTGACAAATCCTTTTATAATTTGCCTGATTTTTGTAGCTGAACCTGTCTGTGTTGAGTTGTTTTTCTTAATTATCATGAGAACTCAAAACTTTTCACATGCATCTCTACTGCAATCCCAGTTGGAGTGTAAGAAATTGATGCCATGGGAAGAAAATCACTCATCTTGGTCATACAATGCACTGGGACTATGCTGTAACCATGGCAACAATGCACCATATGAATGTCCAAACTCTTTTGTTGTATCTGAGGTTATTTCCTTTTACTTCAGGTTTACAACGTTTAACTGCACTAGCCTGACACAAAGTGCAAATCTGACCAGGCCCAACGTTGGTTTAGGGAGTCTGGTCAGTTTGGGATTGGATTTGCACAACATAGATGCATACTAAATGTATCTAAGATCTTAGGCAAACTTGTGTTCTGGCTTGAACAACCCTGCATTTTGAAATAGTGTACTGGCCCTCAGAATCTGTGATTAGAGAACTGTACCATGTGCATGTTTTGAAGTGTCTAGATGTATAAAAGATGCTACTTTTACTTGTTATCTTGTGACACATGAACGAACAAAGCTACACCAAACTACAAGTATTAATGAATATGCACACTTACTGTAATCTTGCTTTTCCTTGTGTATCACGGACAATCAATACTCTTTCTGATCTTTCCCAGTTGGAAGAAATTTAAAACATGTATGAAGTTAGCTTTCCCTTTCATTTTCAAATTTCTCAAGGTCTATGGCCCTCTTTGTTTCATGCGGCTCCGGATCTTGATCATAAACCCAACACTGGTTCACTCCAGCTATTACGTGAGTCATGGTGTCAGTGAACCAACGTTGGATCACTGATCGCGATCTGGGCATGTGTGAATCAAACAGGCTCACAAAGAAATGTACATCAATGTACGAATGAAGGCAACCGTATAATTTAATAACGTACACAGGGCAGACTACACTCTGAAGTATCTGACATGTTGGAAGTGGAAATCAATTGCTACATGCGCTGAAACAATAAAAAATGACTGCTAGGGAAACCCATATTGAGCATTTTAATAGCATCGTGACCACTACTCTCCAAAACACCTGGCTAAGTGTTCAAATCATTGCACCGATCGGTCTCCTCTTGAACATAGTCTTTCTCTTCACAGTCATCCGAGTGAAGTCCATGCATACAATCATCAATGTCTACTTATCCAATCTGGCAGTGGCTGACTCACTGTACCTCCTACATGAATTTCTTGTTTCACTGTTTTCACCGATCAAGCGTGACATCTTTGTGCAATACGCTCTTTTAGGTTCCAAATGGATACCCCAAACTGCTTCTACTTTCTTCGTGGTTACCATAGCAGCTGAGAGATTCTCTGCAGTGCACCATCCACTGACTTTCAGAGAGAAAGCTTCTAAATCACGAGCAGCAAAGATATCAGCAGGACTCTGGCTGCCAGTAATCATCATTGGTGTGACTTTGGTATTCTTACCAATATCAGAGTCTGTCTTTTCTCAACTGATTTTTTGGGCTGCTCACATTGTAAACATTTTCTCTTTTATAGTAACTCTTGCCTTATATATCTATGTAGTAGTGAAAATCTACAGTCCCAAACCCAGACTACCGAACTGTCCCAAGCAAGGAAGGAAGGTCCTGTGGATGGTTGTTATCAATACTGCAGTTTTCTTCATACTGTACTCATTGGACAGTGCTGTTGCAATACTTTCCATCGTGGCAAGAAATTATACTTCGCTTGCCCAGACTGTTGCATTTGTATTTGGTAAAAAACTAATACTTTTGACTGCATGTAAAAGAATCTTGCAGCTCATCAACTGCTCCATTGATCCTCTAGTCTACAGCGCCACAAATTCAATATTCGTAAAGCTGTGGTCCAGGCTTTCTCATTCTTCAAACTGTGCTGTCCTTGCTACCCAAGACAGAATCCCAGCCAACCATCACAGCCATGGGAACAGATTGAGCTTCATGTGATTCCAAATCCACAAAATGACCAACAGCACCATGCTGTCAGACTAAACAGTAGCAAGCCACCAAACCAAGACCTTGCACAACACACACAGAGCCAGCAGCCCCTGCACAACTGTCAACAACAATGTTCCAGGCCAAGTAGCAGCAAGGCATCCATGCACAAACAGCAGAACGCTCTAGTACATGCAGAACCAC